AAGAGGAGCTCAACCTCAGCCAGTCTTTCTGCTTTTCCTTCATGCTCCTGCTGTATCTAGATTATGGGACTCATTTAGAATCTAACTAAAAATGAGAAATCCTCTGTTTCAACAAATATGAAGTGTGCCATCAGTAGGAAAAGGAAAGGTGGTTTAGCAGAGACTGATGATCATTCCAAGAAGCAGTGTCTTTTGGAACATTCCACGGTGACCTCACCACTGGAGTTCTCTGCTTATCTGTCTGGCTTCAGAGTTTTCAGAAAAGACTTGCTGCCTTCAGAATACATCCAGGCCTTCCTTTGGTGCTTGGATTTCTACCCTTAGCAGCTTATTCCTTCATGGATTTTTGTTAAAAAAAAAAAAAAAATGCCCATGGTCCAGGGAGATGGCTCATTAAGCTCTGAGTGTCATTGCACTTAAGCATTAGTCATTTTTGTATCTCTTCCTAGAAATGTGATTTAACGGCACCGCAGTGGTGGTGGGGGTATCGAGAGGAAACAGGGATGTGTAGATCACTAGGCACAGGTTTCTGGGTGGAAAAAAAAAAAAGAAGGGCAACATTTCAGAGTGCTTGCTGAAGACCCGGCACTTTCACATGTATAATTTTCACAGTCCCTGGGAGTTGAGATCTGCCTTTTACAGATGAGGAAGTGAAGAAAGGAGACGAAGTGTCCCACCCAGGTCATATGCTAGTCAGGGACAGGACTGGGATTTACACCAGGGCTGCTGAATCCAAAGCCTCTGCTCTCTTACTGTTCCGTGATACTTGTGCCATCATCAAAGGGAAGCACACAAAGAGCTGGAGTGCTGAGATGAAATTTGCCTACTTGAGAATTTTGCACAAGGCTAACCCTGTCTAAAAGCATTGCTTTGGGGGCGCCTAGGTGGCTCAGATGGTTGAGCGTCTGCCTTCGGCTCAGGTCATGATCCTGGGGTCCTGGGATCGAGTCCCGCATCGGGCTCCCTGCTCCTTGGGAGCCTGCTTCTCCCTCTGCCTCTCTCTCTCTCTCTGTCTCTCATGAATAAATAAATAAAATCTTAAAAAAAAAAATAAAAGCATTGCTTTGAAATCATATGCATGTGGCAGCAAAAATATCCTATTGCCAACGAATTTTTAGCCCTGGCGTTACTCGACCTAAAATTTATTTTAAAAAAAAACCTATAAAGTAAAATATTTTGTAATGAGGTATTGGTTTATAAGGAAGCTTTCTCCGCTTGTTCAGAATACTTTTTATTATTTCCTTATGCACGTTCATAGATTTTCCCCTTTTTGGAGAAGTGGGCTGTGTGAATCTGGCACTAGTCTTGTGTTACCACCAGAAAGCTGGTGAAGATCAGCTCTGAGGTCCCTTCCACCTCTAATTCCTTGCAGTATTTTGGCCTCATGCTGTTATACTAGATCACAGGTCCCCTCAGGGAATGACAGTGGGTATAATTCTCAGCTATCCCCCAACTCTGGTCACAGCAGCCAATGCAGCAAAGCTCCTGGAACCCCCTCCTCTCATTGTTAACTCACTCACTCAAATACATGTAATCATTGTCTGAGATTATTTCCTGTCTGTCATTCTGGCGCTTTCGGGAGAGCTTTGGGGGTATACAGTCTTCGGGTGAATTTCCCCATCATCAGGAGGGAATCTTCTGGGAGGCAGATCTCTTCCCCCCCCACTCCGTATTCTCTCACAGCAACTGCAAAACCACACTTTCTCTATTAAGTACACATTCCTGGGACTATAACAAAAGGCTTCTGTGAGCTTAAAAGCAGCAGGGGAGGGTACAACGTGAAGGACTGAAGATTTAAAGGGTTTCATTTCTTCCTTGCTGGAGACTGTACTGTGTTTGCATGCAGTTTGGAATCTGCTTCTCTCCCACAAGGGAAAGAGAAGTCTGCCCTAAAGGTGCACGGGGACCCCGACTGGTCCTTATCCTCATAGCTTAGTGATTTCCTGCCATCCGAGCGAGCAAGCAAGCAAGCACTGGGGCTCCCTGACATTCAGGGGGCCCCAGGAAGCCCGGCTGGGAGCCCATGGGGACTGGGCTCTGAAACCACACACTCAGTTCACTGCTGTGAACGTCTTCCCTTTGCCGAGTGGCCACTCAGCCAGGCAGCGCTCTCTCACTGGAGCCCACAGCCACAGCCAACCTGCCCTACCAGGGTGGTGGGATTCATTGTTTTCAGTGTGGTGCATGAAATCAGAATTTTTCATCCTTCCCAACTGAGGAGAATTGAGTTCTACAAAGAAAGTTACAAGCACTGAAAAGAAGGTCCCCTTCCCTCCCTTCATCTTTGAGCCCACCCCTGAGGACACCCAGTCTTGCTCTCCTGCTTTTGAGGGAAACCTGCTTCCCTGCTGGATAGTGCCAGGCACTGTGAACGGTGGGCTTGGCTTCGCTGCCAAAGCTCTTGCTTTCTCCATAGCAGTTAATGTGGCCATGACTCAGAATTATGGGACCCCAGATGCTAAGGAAGTGAACTAACTTCTTTTCAGCTCACAGTGGACTCATAGTCAACAGAAAAGGTTTCATGTTCTAATGAAACAGCACAGAAACTCTGTCCTTGGTGGCTAAGTGGTATGTGGTATGACTGTGACTCCCTCCCTTCTCCCTCCCTCTCTCCTTCATTGCTCCCTCTTTTTTTCTTTCTTCAAGTCAGAGCTGAGAACTATGAATTCCAGCCCAAATTCCTTTAAACAAAGGTCCTACTGAACATGACCTTGAAAAGATTTCATCTTGTAATATGCCTATCCAGAATTGCATGTTGTTCCTTGGATTTAGGAAAGGCTGGAGAAATCTGCCACTCCATTTAAGGAGAGGCTGTATGGTTAGTGGATAGGGCCTCAGGCACATGATTGCAACAACAACAATAATGCAAAGAAATACACCTGCGAAATAAAAAACTTAACAATGAAGAACAACTAACGAGTCTATAGCACCTGTTAAAAAATTCATCTGAGTAAATTTAAAGATTAAATTGGCTTTATTCAGTGATTCATGAGTTGGACAGCATCCCATCTAACGGATAAAAAGGAGCTTGAAGGAGCTGTACCAAATGGCAGGCTTTTATAGCCAGAAGGGGGCAGAAAAAGGAAGTTTCTAACAGAGTGGGCTGTTTCAGCAAGGTTACCTTCCTTTGGGGGAAGGCTGGGGAATCTATCAAGCAGATGACCTCACTGGTGCTAACCAGGTAGTTCCAGATGGACTGGTTAAAAGTCACAGTCCTGGGAGAGACAGAAACTGCGTTTAAGTCCTGGTTTGCTGTCAAGGGGACACATGACTCCATTGGGGCCCTGTTGTTCCTTTTTTAAAAAAATGTTTTCCCCCTTTTGATCAGACTCTCAGCCTAAGAGATGTGATCAGAATTTAGGGCATTAGAGCCCCTCTAGCTACCTCTCTGTAGTTCTTGCAGCTTTTACTGGTCCCCTGTGTGATCTTCACAGTCAGGATGCTTTTTGTTGAATCTCTGTGATATCCACAGGTCACAGGTTCAGGTTCACGTTCTTCTAGTCGGTCATTCTCTTCGTTGCTTTGACATTCCAGTCAGAAATCATTTGCTTGGTGGGTTAGCGGCTGCAAACATGCATTTAAAGCTTTTGAGAGAATACAGACCACAATGATTATTATAAGCTGGATACTTCGTGGTGTTTGGAGCGCACTTCCGAGCCATGGTCACTGAGATCCAAACCGATCAAAATCAAGTAGGTCAAAGAAAGACCTTGTTGAAGGAGTTACCTCTTAGAGCCATGTGGCTTGCTCAGTGGTCTTATGTCACTGAGTTTCAACTTCCCCAGAAGTATTAATTTAGGTATAGGAGGTGGCGTTGGCCACAGCACAGACACCTCCTTGCTCCACTAAAAAATAATCAAGGGCTATCTTATTATCAAGAACAACTTCAGCTAGAGAGTCTAAGGATCTGGGAGGGCAGGGGCAGCTACTGTCTTAGCAGTGGACTCTGAAATATCTTCAAGAGTTAAGCAAAGGTTCCTGGTCATCTTCTCATTTACATTTACTCCTAGCCAGGGAAGTAGGGACCTGCCAAAGGAAGCCAGACTCTGAATCTTGAAAGCCTCCTAAAGGTCCTTTCTAACTCGACGATGTAAATTCAGGGGAGTTGACCAATGAGATATCTTAGTTCATGTGTGAGCAGTTAGATAACCCCAAGACGCATTGCCCACTTATGCACCATCTAGGTATTTGTAGGCCCAAGGGGAAGGATAACCACCACAGACAGGGTCAAACCCTATTGGGGCCCAAACTGTTCCCGTTAAGGTGGTACTGTTTATGGATTCACTTATAGAGATTTTTGAATTTACCCATTCAAGCCAGGGGTCAGTTAGGTTTTCCATACATTCGGGAAATAAATTTCCTAGCCTGAAATAAAGAGTTATTCTCAGTGTCTTACAAAGATGGATGCTGCTGATGAGATCTTTTCATGATTGGGGGCAGGTCTGATTTAGAGAATCATGAGAAAGTGGGGGTACAAATATGAGATTTATGTAGATATTTATGTCTAATTGGGTAACTACAGATTAACTGGAGAAAGGTAAAAGGCACTGGACTTCTGGCCTTAAGAGCTAAATTCGGTAAGAGACTCTTAAGGCGGGGGGGGGGGGTCGGTTATAGCTGGTGGTGACATTGGGAATACAAGTTCACAGGGAAGACTGGGGGTCTCTAGTATTACAGATAGATTGGAATCTTTGATGACAAACCCAGAAGTCTGAAAAGTTACTCCCCTTATCTATGTACTGGGAAATACAGATGATGGCCTTATCTTTCTAAGCCAATGCCAGAATAAAGGAAAGAAGAGAAGAAGGAGTTTCATGTTTAGTTAAAATGTGAAGTCTTGATCGGTGTCAGGTGGAAGCAGTCTCCCTTGATGTGAGCTACTTCGGAGGGCTCCAGTGTCTGTGCAGGACCAGATGTCAGGTGGACCCTTCATTAGCTGTGACATGTGGACCCAAGACTCAGTGCCTTCTTGTACCTTGGCAGTGTCAGTGGTCAGGAGTACTTGGTAAGGTTCCTTCTAATGGGGTTCAACAATTCTCTTCCGCCGATGATGTTTCCAGAATATCTAGTTGCCAGGCTCCATCTAGACTGTGACCATCAGGATCCTTTGAATTGGGATCCAGGAAAGCTTTAACCTGTTGATGATAAGCTTTAGCATGAGACATTCAAGACACAGTAACTAGTTATACTAGCATGACACAAAAAGGGACAACAAGCAGAAGGTTGTATACCAATAAACACTGGGATACCCATGACTGTTTCATGTGGAGTCCAGTGGTTTTAGCAAATTTGTAGATTTTAAGTTTGAGGACCACATTAGCTCTCTCGATCTTGTCTGATAATTGAGAGTGATAGGGACAGTGATAATTCCAAGAAGTTTGTAAGGTTTTCATGATTGATTTCACCCAGTGAAGCGGGTGAACTGTGGAAGGTATACCCCAAGTGGGAAACACATTTTCTAACAATTTCTTTGCCACTCTGAGGGCGTCACCCTCACAGCAGGGGAAGGCTCAGCCCACCTGGAAAACACACATACAATAACAAGGACATATTGATAACCCATAGTAAGTGGTAGTTGAATCCAGTCCTGCTGCAGATACTCAAAGGGTCCAGAGGGAGGAGGTTTGGAACCTGGAAACAAAAATAGTTTTCCCAGGATTATGGACCTGACAGGTCGGGTACTGGTGGTAAGCTGTTTTCACATTTTTAGAAGTCTCCCCACGAATGTTTATTTGTAATTTGAGTCATCTTAATCGCTCCATGGTGGGTGAGAGAATGCAAAAAAAAGAAAAATGGGGTTTGCCAGGGTGCTGGGAAGAACCAAGTGGCCATCTCGGGTTTCCCATAGCCCCGACTATTCATTCAGTCTACAACCATTGCTCATCCATCGTGATTTCTCTGATTCAGGAGCAGACTTGCCATGTTGCAAGAACATCAGGATGGCAAGAGTCTGGCAACAAAGGGTCATTCTTTGCGGCAGCAGAGTAGACTTCCCCGGCACGTGCCACAATCTTCCAGATTCTATTGCTGCTGCCTTTGCATACAAGTCAGCGAGAGCATTTTCCTGATACTCAGGTTCAGTCTTTTTAGTATGAGCCTTAATTTTGATGACAGCAGTTTGAGTGGGTAAGACAATAGCAGTAAGAAGGTCGTTTACTTGCCGTCCATTTTTTATTGGAGTCCCACTGGATGTAAGGACAGCCCCTTTGTTTCCATAACATCCCCAAATCATGGACAACCCCAAAGGCATACAGTGTGACCATTGACAGTCTGTCCTTCTGGTAATTGACGTGCTCTGGTAGGGCACGGAGCTCTGCTTTTGGACTGATGAAGCTTATGGGAGCTTACCCCTTTCAAGTAGTTCATGCTGGGTAGTAATAGCATAACCTGCCTGGAAAATCCCTTTCTCATTTTTACAGTACGAACCATCAAGAAGCAAAATTAGATCAGGATTAGTCAAAGGGATGTCTTGTCAATCAGGACATGGTGTCCCCAAATGGGACATTATTACCTCGAAATCATCAGGCTCGCCTTTGTCAAGTAGAGGTAGTAACATAGGAGGATGAAGAATGTTGTTGCATTTAAGGTGGAGATTAAGTGGTGAAAGCAGAAGGATCTCCTAGGAGGTTAGTCTGCTTGCAGAGAAATGTTGGGTCAATTCAGAGGTCAGAAGACTTTGGACAGCGAGTGGGGTTTGCAAATAAATGTCATTTCCTAGGGTTAAAGGTGCTGGGGCTTCTAACTTTGCAGCTGCAGCCGTAACCTAAGGCATCTGGGACAGGTATGAGCAACTGAGCCAAGTCGAATGCTCTAATAGGTAGTCGGCCTGTGCTTATTACCATGTTCCTTGCATGAGCATTCCCAGGGCTCCGTATCTCTGAGGTGCACAAATAAGGGGAAAGGCTTTGAATAGGTAGGTGGTTCTAGGGCAGGTGGTTCTTGCAGCGTTTGTTTTAGTCTTAGAAAGGCCTGCTCCGGTTTATCCTCCCAAGGAAAGGGCTCAAGGACTGAAGTTTTAGTAAGTTCTTGAGTGGGGAAGCTAATAGAGAAAAGTGAAGAACCCATAGTCTGTAATAACCACGAGGCCTAGAAATCCATGAAGCTGTTGCTTGTTTGTGGGCCTACAAAATTCTTGAATTAGCTTAATTCTTTTGGGAAATAGCTAGATTTCTTCAGCGCTTAGATCATGACCTAGGTAATGAACAGAGATCATTGTAATTTTTCCTTAGAGACTTCATGTCCCCTTTCAGCTAACTGCTGTAGCAAATAAATGGAACTCTTCATGGACGCTTTCTTAGGTAACAGCATAGCAAGAGATTGTCTATGTATTGTAAAAGGGTCAATTTCCCAGGGAATTGGATGGTCCTTAAGTCTTGTTGACGTCCTGGGGAGAAGTAAGAAGGGGCCTCAGTGAACCCTTGAGACAAGATGGTCCAGGCATATTGTTGATGGTTCCAAGTAAAGGCAAATGTTGACTGTTGGGATCTATAGGGATGCTGAAAAAGGCTGAACCAAGGTCTGCTGGCACTTGTGACAAAAGGGCATTGGGGTTTGGAGCAGCTGGGAAATTGGGAATAACTATCTTGTTAATAGCTCTCAAGCCCTGGACAAATCGCCGTCCCCGTCCATTAGGTTTCTGGACTGGCAAGAGCCTCGCGTTCCGGAGGCTGGTACAAGGAATGATTAGGCCCTGGCCGATTAGGTCTTCTGCTATTGCTGTGAGGCCTCGGATGCCCTCAAGCTTTAATGGTTATTGAGGCAATTTGGGAAGAGGTTTAGTTATACGCTCTGCACTTTCTATTCTCCCAGTGTCAGTATTAGAAGCAGCCCACAGATTTCCGGGCACCTTGATTAAATCGGGGACTTCTGTTGAGATTCTTCCTCTTCTATGTCAAGGACAGACTGTAAGGAACATGAAAGATCAGGTTCAGGTTGGCCAGGGAACTCTAAGGTGAAATCTCCATAGGAAGCAAAACATACCAGCCCTTTTAACTTAGAAAGGAGATCTCTACCTAATAGATTAACGGGAGCCGGATAACATAGCAAAAAAGAGATGTTTTTCAGGGAAGGTCCCAGAGTCATTTGTACCGGTTGAGATAGAAATTCTCTCTGAATTTGGTTAGGTACCCCCGCTATGGAAACTTCTTTTTCACTTTGAGGGATGTGGTGTCCTAGGACAGTGGGGTTTAAAGTAGAAAGCAAAGCACTGGTGTCTACCAGAATTTGGGAAGTTTTCCCATTATTTTTTTTCTTTTTATTTGAATACAGTTGACACACAATGTTACATTAGTTTCAAGTGTATAAGTTAGTGATTTGACAGGTTTATGCATTATGCTGTGTTTACCACAAATATAGCTACCATCTGTCCCATTACATCACTATTACAGTATCATTGACTATATTCTTTGTGCTCTGCTTTTTATTCATGTGACTTACTCATTCCATAACTGGAGGCCTGTGTCCCCACTCCTCTTCACCCATTTTGCCCACCCCCCCACCCCCTCCCCTCTGGCAACCATCAGTTTGTTCTCTGTATTTATAGTTCTGATGCTGCTTTTTGTTTATTCATTTTTTGAGATTTCATTTATGAGAGGAATCATAGAGTATTTGTCTTTCTCAGTCTGACTTATTTCACTTACCATAATACCCTCCAGGTCCATCCATGTTGTTTCAAATGGCACGATTTCATCCTTTTTATGGCTGTGTAATATTCCAGTGTGTATATACACCGCATTTCCTTCATCCATTGGTCTCTTGATGGACATTTAGGTTGTTTCCACGTCTTGGCTATTGTAAATAATGCTGAAGTAAACCTAAGGGTGCATATATTTTTTCATATTAGTGTTTTCATTTTCCCTGGATAAATACCCAGTAGTGGAACTGTTGGGTCATACAGTACTTTTATTTTTAATTTCTTGAGGAATGGCCTTATGGTTTTCCACAGCAATGGTACCAACTTATATTCCCACCAACAGGGCATGAGGGTTCCTTTTTCTCCACACCCTCACCAACACTTGTTATTTCTGGTCTTCTTGATTTTAGTCATCCTGACAGGTGTAAGGTGATACCTCATTGTGGTTTTGATTTGTAGTTCCTGATGATGAGTGATGTTGAGCATCTTTTCTTGCATCTGTTGGCCATTTGTATGTCTTCTTTGGGAAAATGTCTATTTAGGTCCTCCACCCATTTTTCAATTGGATTGTTTGTTTTTTTGATGTTGAATTATATGAGTTCTTTATATATTTTGGGTATTAACCCCTTATCGGATATGTCCTTTGCAACCCCCATTTAGTAGGTTGTCTTTTGGTTTTGTTGATGGTTTCCTTTGCTGTGCAAAAGTTTTTTTATTTTGCTGTAGTCCCAGTAGTTTATTTTTGCTTTTGTTTGCCTTGCCTGAGGAGATGGATCTAGAAAAAGGTTGCTATGGCTGATGTCAAATAGTACCTGTGTTCTCGTCTAGGATTCTTATGGTTTCACATGTCATATTTAGGTCTTTAATGCATTTTAAGTTTGTTTTTGTGTATGGTATTAGAAAATAGTCCAGTTTCATTCATTTGCTTGTAGTAGCTGTCCAGTTTTCCCAACACCATTTATTGAAAACACTATCTTTTCCCCATTGTATATTCTTGCCTCCTTTGTCATAGATTAATTGGCCATATATATGTGGGTTTATTTCTGGGCTCTCTATCCTGTTCCATTGATATGTGTGTCTATTTTTGTGCCAGTACCATACTGTTTTGATTACTATAGCTTTGTAGTATATCTTGAAATCTGGAATTGTGATTTTAATTAGTTTTCCCTAGGCTCTCTAAGGGGATTCTTGGTGTAATCCGTAGGGATTACCTTTGGAGTCCTATCAACTCTGGGAGGGACCCATCTGGGGGCCTCCTTCAGGGGCAGATATGGGGGTATTTGAGTTGATGTGGGAGAATTTGCAGAGGACTTTTGAGGACAACCTCTTTTTCCAGTATCCCAGTTGATTAGAATTGAGGCATTGATTTCTGGGTCTGTGTTTTGATAATGGACCCCTAGGAGGTTGCAGTGGGTGGCGGGGGTGGGGGGCAGGTATTATTTTAGATCTCTGACCTTGGAACTGTTTTAGATGTAAGACCAAGAGCTGGGCAGACTTTTTTTTTTTTTTTTTTAATGGTCTTGTTCTAAAGTCCTTCCAAAATGCTCAGCTATGGTCACAAGTTCAGTCAGACCGGTGGCCTCCCATCCTATTTTCTTTTATCAATCCACTAATCTCAGGAGATAACCCATTTACAAATAGTGCAGCTATAGTTGATTGGATGACCGTGTTTATTGTATTGTACCTGGAATGCTGTAGGAAGAGAGCTTCCAGGGGGCTGTAAGTCTGCCACAGATTCATCTCTCTTTTGTTTACATGTTTAAATAGCAGACCAATCAATGCAGTCAGGGAAGACTCTAGGAATGGCTTTTAAAAGATCTGTTGCTAGGAGCGCCTGGGTGGCACAGGTGGTTACCGGTCCGACTCTTGGTTCTGGCTCAGGTCATGGTCTCAGGGTCCTGGGATCGAACCCCACGCTGGGCCCCACATCAGGCTCTGCGCTCAGCATGGAGTCTGCTTGAGATTCTCTCTCCCTCGCCCTCTGCCCCTCCTGCTCCTGTTGTCTCTCTCTCTCTCTCTCAAATAAATAAATAAATCTTTAAAAAAATAAAAGATCTGTTGCTATATTGTGAAGTTCTTCTGGTCCAGGAGGAGACCATGTTGAAGATGGAGGATCTCAAATATCATCCTTGGTGTTTTGGCATTTTGCTTCGTACACCCATTTTGGGGCTTCACCAGGTCCTACCAACATGTGCACAAGCTGATCAAGATCTGGCAGCCCAGGCTCTTAGGCCCAGATAATGACACTAAATTCTTACAAAAAACTTAGGAGGATCCTCCCTAGGGTTAGGAAGCACCTTAACAATGGGTCCTAGTTCAGCCTTTGCCCAGCCAGTGAGAAATACCTAATGAGGATCACCTGCAACCTCAGGTGGTTTTTATCTTAAAAGGTAACTGTCTCCTAGTCTTCAGAGTGGAAAGGGGGAAAGGAAGCAGTAGGAGTCATGTCAGTCTTATTATCTTTTGTTTTAGATACCTCTTGGGTCTTTAATTTTTCATTAGCCTTTTACAGCACATTTTTTAAGGAAGCAATTTTGGAATCTTGAAGCCTTTTTGATGCTTCTGCATGCCAATTAAAATAGGTATCCCGTTCTATTTAATTCAGAAACCCTTTTTTTAAACTGCGCTTCTTAAATGAACAGTCTTGTCTAATTGGAACATTGTCCATAATGGCCACTGTCATTCTAGGTTGTTTTTAGCTGTTTTTAGTTTATCTACAGCTTACGTCCAGGAACTATAGTTTCTGGACATAAAATCAGCAGGTGTGCCAGAAAGTGGCATGCCCATCTCTTTAGAATTTAAAGATCTCCTTCCCTTTTTTTTTTTGCTAAGCCTTCGAGTCTCTCAGAGCCAAGCTAATACCTAAGAGGTATGTGCCTCTGGGTTGGAGACTGTGTGGTGTTTTACAGTGTATCGCATTGCATAGAAATTTTCTTAAAGTTGGTGGATGACCTGCTGTCAATCTAACTCGTTCCATGACTGACTTATCCTACCACGGAAGTCTTTGGGTTAGGTGGCAAGCGCTCTAACAGCTTTTAAGTGCTAGACCCATGCCCACCAATTTTTTGCCCTTTTGGCTTCCAAGATCCCCATTCACAATAGCCTTTATCTGCACAAAACGAGACAGACACACAGATGCACCTTAACACGCCCAGCAGTGACCACGAGATGTTACCGTGGCCTGGCCCAGAGAAGGCCCTGCCCGCACCACTGGCAATTCCCAACCTGGAACTGGGGCAAGTGGGGGGAAAGACTGAACCAGCAAACCCCAAAAATGAAGACTGTGGACTGGACTGGGTTTGCAAAAAGGGGAATTGCAAACTAGCAAGCCAGTTAGATCAGGAGCTTGACTCAAGGAGAGGGTTGCTCAGAACGGAGAGGAACTTACCTATGGCCCTGGGAAATGGTGAGAAAGACAGAACCCAGCAGTGTTTGTGGGTACCACACCTGTGTTTCTTACTGTCCCCAGAGCTGTCAGAAGCCTCCTTCAATCCCACCACTGACACCAAATCTGTTAAAAGGCAAAATTCACGTGAGTAAATGTGAAGATCAGACTGGCTATTCATCGATTCATGAGTTGGACAGCATCCCATCCAGTGGGTAGAAAGGAGCTCCAATAAGCTGTATCAAATGGAAGGCTTTTATAGCCAGAAGGGGGCAGAAAAAGGAAGTTTCTAACAGAGTAGGGTTGTTCAACAAGGTTACCTTCCTCTGGGAAAAGGCTGGGGGTCTGTCAAGCAGATGACCTCACTGGTGCTAACCAGGTAGTTCCAGATGGACTGGTTAAAAGTCACAGTCCTGGGAGAGGCCAAAACTACAATTAAGTCCTGGTTTGCTGTCAGGGAGCAAGTGACTCCACTGGGGCTCTGGTGTCCCTCTCCCCTTTTTTTTTAAACACACTTTTTTCCAGGGAGTACCAAGCACTTCCTTGTAAATTCTGTCCTTTTCTCACAGAGCATGAGTTATTTCCTAGAAACGACTTAGACTCCTTTGGAAAAGTGCATCGATTCTTTTAACCATCGTGATCCTGTTACAGTAAAACGTCTATTATCTGATTTTCTGTGAATTTGTAAAGCCGTTATTAACTGGCAAATTATGTATGTCACCAGTACCATGACAGCTGATGTTTATGACGGTGACCCTGAACTTCTGTAAGATCCTGAATGACCTACTCAAGAACCAGAGAAAGATAAAATTGTATTTAAAAGAGATTTTTATGTTGTGTCTATTTTATTATATTCAAATCCTTTTTAGTGGAGTCCAAGTATATGTCCACCATGATTTTCCAGGATAGTACCAATTTAAAATATTTTATCCTTTCTTGGCATCGTTAATCAAACCTAGTAAAAATAAAATAACTTTAGTATTTGGGGTCTAAACTACAGGCGATTACATCTGTGATTAAACCTGTAAGGGAAACAAAAGTTCTTTTTCAGAGCCAGTGTGGCCAATATGAAATATCCTAAGTATGATCACCAAAGTGTAGGACGGATCAACCCAGACACTCCCTGCTGTTCCTCTTTAAGACTTTAGTCCAACTTCATGAGGTGTTCTGAGTTGTGTCAGGCTGACACTGTCAACCAGAGGAGACTGATAGTGGTTTGGCAGCCAGATGATAATGGCTTGGGTCGATGGCCCTCTTTCTTGAGCCGTGCAGCTCTCCCTCAGGTTTTGTGAGATGTGGTTTGTCATTTTCCTTGAAGGAAACCTGATGTAGAGAAATAAACAGTGACTGCCATGTTCTAGATGCGAACACAGGCTCAAAGCCAGTACTAAAGCACAAGGCTTCTAATTCCTCATCCGTGGTTCCCTGATGCCCCTAAGTCCCTGATGACTGAGTACGGTCACCCTTTGAGGTGAATGGTCCCCCAGTGCCTAGTTGTAAACAAGCAGATAAATGTGGAGAGTACCTTTGAGGACCCTGATCCATGGGGCCACCTCAACTTTCAGAGCTCAGTGTATTAGACAAATGCTGGACCGAGAGCCAGAAGACCTTGGTCCTATCCTAGTCGGGCAACTTTGAGCAAGCCAGTTAGCCTCCGTCCCTTCCGGTGCTCAGCTGGAAATAAGAACAGTAATGTGTGCACCACTGACCCACCGGTTATTTGGAGAGGCAAATGAGGTGAAGTGCTTGAAAGCCCTTTGTTGCCGGGTATGAGGTCATGTGTCCACATCCCATGATTCAGCTCAGAGGAGAAGGACATCCAGGTGAAGGGCTTGGTAGGAGTGATGACTTAGTCTTGGGGATATTTGTGGACCAGATGCAACAAGTAAATTCATGTGACTGGGGGCAGAGAAAAGTATGCCGGATATAGTAGAAATGCCTGGAACCTGTAATTGTCGTCGAGTTTGAAACTCAAAAATGATGCAACAGGCAGTTCCATTAGAATTTCTTTTTTTTTTTTTTAAAGATTTTATTTATTTATTTGACAGAGAGAGAGACACAGCGAGAGAGGGAACACAAGCAGGGGGAGTGGGAGAGGGAGAAGCAGGCTTTCCTAGGAGCAGGGAGCCCGATGCGGGGCTCGATCCCAGGACCCTGGAATCATGACCTGAGCCGAAGGCAGACGCTCAACAACTGAGCCACCCAGGCGCCCTCCCTTAGAATTTCTGCCCCCTCCCCACCCCTGCCCACTCTTCACTGCTTCTGAGAATGACAGGTCCAGGCATTCCTGGGGTGATAGATCATTTAAAAAGGTGACCCCCAAGAAATCTTAGTATATTTTGAAGTGTGCATGGTTCACCAGGCAGAAAACAGAAGCGGCCCAAGCCCAGCAGAGGGGGTTGTCTGTACAAAGGCCAGAGAACACGGTGCCTCTGGGAATTGCAAGCATGCCCATGTGGCTGGAGATGGGTCAGCCAGAGGGCAGCATGGCAAGTTAAGTGGGAGCTTAGAAAGGCCCTGGGAAGCTTCTGGAAATGTTTAAGCAAAGCAATAATACAGTCAGCTTTCTGTTTTAGAAAGATTGCTGCCTCAAACTTGGTGCTCAGCTACCTGACCCTTTTACTTTTTATTGGATAGAGGAGAGATCTCAAGATAAGCGTGCCTGCAGTCAGTGCTCTTTCTCTGTCTAAGCCAAAGGATGGTGGGGTGCCACAGAGTGAGGGACTGAGTTAGAAAGGGTAGGAGGTGTCACGAAAGGGTCCACGCTGCACTTGACAATTTGATAGCATTAAGTCACTCAAGTCGAACTGCCTTCTGCTTTTCCTTTGATATTTCTCTATAGCCAATGGAAGCTTTAACCAGATGCCACCTTCTTTCCATCCTTCCCTTGACCTCACAGCCCACTTAGAATCGAGATGTTCAAAGTCCCAAGTCAGAGATAGCGTGTACCATGACTGACCTCAGGGTGGAGGGGGCTGTCCTCTGCAGCCTTTAGGACCATCCGGTGGTATGCTCTGACACGGGGAAGCTGGGGGACCTGAGCTTTGGCATCAGCCCCGCTGGGCTCTGAGTCTTGCTTCCGCCATGCACTGGACTCGGGATCTTCATAAATCATTTAACCCCTCTGTCCAGGCTTGCATTTTCTCATCTGTAAAAGGATAGCGGTAATGCCCATCTTCCAGAGCTGGTATGAGGGTCAAACAGATAGTATCTCCAAAGCACCAGGTATATGGTAAAATCTCAATTTATGTCTTTCCTTTAAATGCCAGAAGTGAATACTCTTTCAGTAATTATTCTCTTAAAAGCAAACAAAAGAGATCCTGTGTGCGTGATGCTCCCGTGTCTGCTGTGTGGTGTGACAAAGTTGAAATAGGAGTTCATGACGAAGTATATCAGAAAGGAAAAATGTCTCTACGATGCCAAGCAAGGGAAACTGAGGAAGGAAGGGGAGCAGATAGGTCAGATGATTAGGGGTCAAAATGTGCCCTACTGGCCTAATATTAGAACTCTGAGGACTAATTTCCACTGATGAGCTCGATGCCTACTCAACCAATAATACGCTTTTCTAGCCAGAGAGACACACCTATAGGATCTATTCAGTTTTAAGACACAAATCCTGATTCCTTGTCGTGAAGTCTTCCTGCTCTTTCCATGGCTGCAAATGGCACACGTAGGACTACCACCAAGCCAACTCAAGTACACCTACCGGGGTGGGTTCCCTGAGGGGCACCAAGTCAAACACAAATAGGCTCGCCTTCGGAGCTTACTGCCTAGTGAGGAAAAAGACATAAGCACAGATAAATCCAATTTAACACAGCTTTTGGAAATTCTGTATACAGCTTCAGAGTGCTCTGGAAGCAAAAAGACAGGAGGAGAGACATTTTTGGAAGAAGCCTTCATGGAAAGAGTGACTTTCCTTCCAGGCATTAAAGGAGGGGTGAGTTTCAACAGGTCAGGGTGGGGGGAATGTGGACTCCAGAAGAAGCAAGCCTGTGCGCTAAGGCACACTGGGGAGAGCCTGGACCGGGACAGGAGTAAGGAAGTGTCAGGCAAAGGGTCTTGGGAGGAGAGGGAGGTAGGTTAAGGTGTTGAATGCATCTTTAAAGAGAGTGATTTTATTCTCTGTGCCTTGGTGGAGAGTCTTGAAGGTTTTTAATCAAAGAAGCAGTGGGAATGATTCTTAAGGAAGATTTCTCTGAGAACACTGCGTATTCTCTGTGAATAATTTTGTGGTTTGGGTTTTACACCAGTTACAGTGTGGAGCTTGGCATCTCCGAGCCTACAGTCTGTATTTCCAGAAGAAGGGGTCGGCTTCCCTTTGTTCACTGTTCATCCCTCACGTCCCTCACGTGGACACTGCTCTTCAGGCCTTAGAGTGCCCCTCGTCAGCGCTCTCGTGTTCCCTGAGGCTGGTTGAGAGCCATGTTTGCTAACCTACAATCCCACCCTCCTCCCTCGAGTCAGCACGCCTCAGCCCTCCCCTCCACCCTTAGCTTATCTGCCTTCAGGCCCCAGCTTACAGTTGCTCCAGTCAAGGCACCAGGCCCTTCCTAATGTCTACCTGCTCCTTTCCCCTGAGTGTAGGCTCCTCTGCCCCAGCCTCCCCAATCAGTTACCCTCTCCCTCCTCCATACTCAGTTGGGTTGATTGAGTTCCTTCCATCTTCAGAGAAACCTGCCTGGATTCTATATCGCTCTTCACTATCACCCCGTCTCTTTTTTCCTTCACAGCCAAGATTGTGAAAGAGTTATCCACCCCTACCCCTCATTTCCTCACGTCCCATGAACGCCTCAGCCCACTCTGACCTGGTCTCCGTCCCCGTTACACCTCCGCTCTGACTAGAATCACCAGATGCTCAGTCCACTGGACATGCCTCGCTGCTCCTTATCTCGGCTCTGCGGCTCATGACGCGTCTGACTGCTTCCTGAGACTCGCTCCATGTTGGCTGGCGAGATACATTCTCCCCTGCTTTGTCTCTTGCTGCCCCATCCTTCAAGAGTACACCTGTTTAAAGTGGTTTCCTGCTTAAATGTTTTCCTTCAATCTCATCTACTCCAATGGCTTCAATAACCACTGGTATGATATCTCCTAAATCTCTTTTCCATCTAGCCTAGATCTTTCCCTTA